TATGGGGAGGATCAAACCCCTTTCTCCGGGAGAAAGGGACAGAAGAAACGACCGTCTTTGTGCCCTGGGCTGAGAAACCTGAAAACCATAGTGTACAACAGGTGACAGCTATCTACTCATGCTGAGGTTCCCTGTGCACACTGGGCCTAGAGTTCTTAATCTAACTGGGAGTTAGGCGCTGTGGCGCACATCTCTAATCCCAGCACTCAAGAGACCGAATCTGGAGAAACTGCAGAGCAAGGTCACCCTGCGCTACGCAGCGAGCCCTAGGCCAGACTAGTGTCTCAAGACATGGATTCATATTCATTCATTTCCTCTCTCTCTCTTCCTCCCCTCCCTTCCGAAGCATCACCACAAATCTAGATACCAAGGGAGGTGTGCCCAAGTCTGTGATCTTGGCGTTTAAGAAACTGAGGCAGGACTGGAGACCAGTCTGGAGAACCGGTGGCCGCTGAGAACCGCCCTTCATCTGCAGGTTTCAGATCTGACAGTTAGACAGATGGGCGCATGGGTATGATAGACTACAGCCTGTCGTGTTCACTTTAGATGACAAAATGTGTCACGGTGACTTCCTAAAGGTTACTGTCTTGCTTATGCAGAGAAGTCAGCATGATACAGAAGAATAGGGTTAGGTTGTATCTTATCTTTGTTCTGGTTCTAATCACTAACCCTGTGACTATACCTGTAATTTAACATGTACAGTCCGTTAAAAGTAACTTGAGGACAATCCTTATTTCATAGGGTGGAGTCTGTTCAGTTAATTATATGTGAATGAGTCCAACAGTGTCCAACAGGCACCTTCCTTTGGCAACTACCTGCCTAATCTTGGAGGGCTTTCTGGTGACCAGAGCAGAACTACTTTCTGATTTGCCTTCTCTGAGCTCTCTCTCTGAATCATCATTTCGTTGATTCACAGCAACTCCAAGGCTACAGGAAACCAGGGTTGAAGGACATAGGCCTTACCTAGCCTAAAGTAAGCCCTTCCTTTGTGTTCACTGACTTGGTCATGATGGGAGGAGAGTGAGCTGCTAGACTCATTGACTATAATGTGGGTTTTTTGCCAAAGGCCACAGAATCTGGTTTAATGGCTTTACAGTTCTTAAAATTTAATGGGAGTTCTTCAGGAAGGTATGTAAAACAAAACAAAACAAAACAAAACATACTCCAATCCAGGAGCTGCAAAATAAACTCTGGCCCTGCGGATGGTGAGATTATAAATTGTCCCATATATCATGTGACTTGTTGGGCTCTGCAAACAGCAGTGTCATTTCTGAGGACAGCCTGCCTGAGCAGCCCACAAGCTTTGAACGTCAGGCTTAAAGTAGAACCTAACACTTCAGGCCTACCTGATCCTTAAGCTGGACCTGTTAAGACTTGTGTCTGAGGTACGGTTTCACTCTATAGCCCACGATGATCATAAATTCATACATTACATGGCTGCACCACCATGCCCAGGAGGCCTTTTTATACCATGTCTTCTTCAGACATCTAAAAATTTCTTTTATCACATGGTAGAGCAAACTTTTCCCCAAACTCTGAAAAGAAAATGATAGTTTTTTGGAGTTAAAAAAAGTTGTCTCTGTGGAAAAGAGAAGACTTCAAGACAGAGAAAACATTTTAGCTATACATGGAAGGTCAGTTTATATATGGAGGGCCTCTCCAAGATGTTCAGTATTCAGTAAATGTAATTTTTGTAAATACTGAAAACACATGAGTGTTCTGAATGCAACTCTGTGTCTGGGCTTCCCAGCATCTTGCAAATGCTGCATCAGCCAAGAGAAGCAGGAAGAGATAAGCGTAAGGGCTCCCTTATTCTCTCTGTAAAGCTTGATCTCAGCCATGGAGGCCTTGTCACCCGACATGACCTCCAACTTTTCTCTATCCCAGAACTGCTGGGACTCACTGAAAAAAGGTTTCTTAGAATGTAATCCTACCCACCAACTAACTCCCTAAAGGTCTTGTGCTCTCCTTTCACCCTACATCTGTAGCTAAGGCTCCCTGGTGTGCAAATTAGAGAATAAGTAGAACCCAGAGGAACAGAAAGGGGAAGATCCTGACACAACAGCTGTGTGATGAGATTGGGGATGAGGTGTCACTCAAGATTTGGAAGATCAAGGCATCATGATGGCAAGATGACAGCCGCCAGAAAGTCATCCAAGTAGTGAGGCCACATGATCTCTCAATAAAGTTCCCTTACAGAAGAGACCACCTCAGTGCCTCAGAAACTTTGAGAACAGTGACCATTCCTCCCTCTTCTGTAATCTCCTATCATTCTAAAGGAAGTATATCCACAGGTATGCTGCTAGGTCAGGGCAACCAGACACTGCAGAAATAACAAAACCATTACCTCAGAAATACAGAAGGAAACCTATGTCTCAAGAAGAAATGGGCTTTATCCAACTTGGAAGTCCAGCATGATCATTGTGGCTGCTCTTTGTCAGCCAGAATAATTATCTTTCCAATAAGGGATTTTCAAAATGATAACTGAGAAAAGCTTATCAAACAACCTTAGTAGATATTCTGCAGCTGGGTGGCCGTGTCCCTTGCCTCAGATCCCAGCACTCAGGAGGCAGAGGCAGGGAACCTGAGTTCCAGGAAAAGCCTGGTCTGCAATGAGTTCCAGGGTGACCAGGGCTATAGGGAGAAACCTTGCATCAAAGAACCAATAAGTAGATAGATATTCTGAAAAATAACAAGAAAAACAACAACAACACAAGACCAGAAAACAAAGGATCAAGTGGCCTCCTCCTAAAAAGTCCTACCATTTCCTTGGATGTGTGTTCTTACACCTATGTGTCTGTCCTGACAGACTGGTTACCTGACTCACCCATCCCAAGGACAACTAGAACTAAAGACACTACGGTTCCTCTCCGGTGTAAAATTATTTCTGCAGACAAAGATTTATGAGGGTAGCATCTCTGGCCCTATGGTTGGTGACAGTGAGGTAGTCTGAAACTCAATTGTGCAGAGTCCTTTGCTCCAGAGGCCTTTGCCTCTTCCAATGAACTGAAACCGACCTTTTCCTCATCCTTGGAGGGGAGGGCTCCAGTGGAATTATGTGATCCACAGAACTTCCTCCCTAGGTCTCCCAGAACAATCTGTGAGCTGGTAAGAACCAGCAATGACTCAGCTCCAGAGCTGCTCCTTCCCAGCTGGAATTAGAGACAGAAGTAAGCTCCTCCCCAGCTGATGCCACATCCTTACCACAAACTGAATCATGGCCACACCCAGCCTATATGGAAAACTACCAGGAAGGGAGGGAAGGTGAAATTCAAGGAGTTTTTGAGTTTTGAGTCCAAAATAACAACCGCAGTACTCTCTACCTGGCACTAATTGAGGAAAACAGTCCCCCTTCCTGACTCATCCTTAAGCATGTCTAGGTCTGACTGAGGCAAGATTGCTTACACACCCTGTAAGTGAAAGCTGGATTGTCACTGTGAGTATAGTCAGAGCCCTGGCCTCTGTGAGGAATCTGGTCTTGTAGCTCATGCCTGTCTTCATGGGCCTCCCACCTTCAAAGTAGCTAGGTTCCCAATGCTCCCTCACACCAGGCTGTGAGCCGACACCTCTCCAAACCCCAGGACCCTACAAAGCAAGTGTCTCTGCAGTGAGGGCATTCTTCTGCCTCTTCTTTGCAGTACTGAGGAACGAACATAGAGCTTTGTATGTGTTAGCACAGGTGCTACCGCTATGCCATAGCCCCTGCTTTCAAAAGGCATTCTTGATTTTGGTTAGAATTTTTTTTAATCTCATGTTTTGTATTATAATTTCATTGACATAAAATGTTTGTAAATAGGAAAATTTTCTTAATTTCTGAAATTGCCAAAAACATGTGAGCAGCCATACATCTAGGTCCAGGTAGGGCACACTGAGCAGCAAGTGTGGTGGGGCATGCCTTCAATGCTGGCACTCTGGAAGTAGAGATGGGATATCTGTAAGCTGGTCAACACACCAAGTTCCAGGCCAACTAGGGCTACCTAGTAAAACCCTTTCACATGGGTAGCATATCAGATACCCTGCATGGGTATTTACACTATGATTCATAAGAGCAGCAAAACTGCAGATAAGAGGTAGCAACAAAAATAACTTTGGGGTCACATAATATAAAATAATGTGGCTGAGAATCACGTGAGGAACTGTATTAAGGGTTGTAGCATTAGGAAGGTTAAGAACCTCTGCCCTAGAAACACTTATGATCTCTGAAGAAAACATGTCTCCCAGCTTTGCTGTGAACAGTAAATGAGGCTATGGCCAGAGTCAGAACAGAAATTCTGGGGTCAGTTTACTATGATTACCTGTAGAATTACTTATCCTTTAAGATTATTTTCTCATCTGCAAAATGGGAATAACAGCACCTATTTCTGAGGCTTCTGTGAGAATTATGAGTCAATATATGCAGCAAGTTTGCAACAATATCCACTTACACTAATATGTTATTTAAGTATTAAGGTACTTTGCACACTAGTTGGAAATTGATTTGTAAGAACTAAAGTTTGTTAGCTAGCTCTTATAGCATATCATGGGTTACAAAGTCTTCCTGGAGGCAGGATTTCAGTTGCAGGTGTCCACTGACAGTCATTTATTTGGTAAACAGTTACTGCTCTGAGGCCTGAGTCTTGAGACGTCAGTGTTAGAATACACTAGTTATTTCCTTTTTGAGATGGGATTCTTGCTAAATTGCTGAGGTTGGTCTTGAAATCCTGGGCTCAACTGATTCTCCTGCCTTGGCCTCCAGGGAATAAGCTGGAACTGCAGGTGAATCCTACCATACTCTTTTATGATGTACTGATCCTAAGGAATTGGGAAGACAATGAAATAATCAGTTCTGGGGGAAGGGTCTTTAAGAGTGGTACTGACTTGTTCAAAATACCAGGAACTATAACTTAAGTAAGATACCCAGGTAAGAAGGCGCTGTGAAATATGATGATCGCAGAAGACAACAGCTAGTCTAGAGCAGGCTTTGGAAGCAAGAGCTTTAGAATTTGAAATTGTACCATTGAGTACTCGATTCAGCAGCACATATATAAAACTGGAACCATACAGAGAAGATTAGCATGGCCCCTGTGCAAGGATGACACACAAATTCACGAAGCATAAAAAAAAAAAAAAAAAAAAAAAAAAAGTATCCTTGAAAAGCTGAGTTTTAAAAAATGCTTTGTGGTGCTAGGCATTGTGGCACATGCTTCTAATCCCAGCACTCAGGAGGCAAAGACAGGCAGATCTCTGTGAGTTCAAGGCCAGCCTGGTCTACAAAGGGAGTCCAGGAGAGCCAGGGCTATACAGAGAAACCCTATCTTGAAAAAAACCACCAACCAAACAAACATGCTTTGTGGTATTTTCTGTATTTATATCTTTGTTTTTCATTAATATTTCATAAAATATTTGGAAATGTTCAACATATCTTGCTATGCTTAGAATTAACTAAGGAAATAGACATGGTGGCAAAGCCTTTAATCCAGGACTTTAGAGATAAAGACAGCTGGTTCTTTCTGAGTTGGAGACCAGCTTGGTTTCTATGTAGTGAATTTTAGGACAGTCAGGGATACATAGTGAGACTGGAATTACCAAGTGTTTTTGAGTATATGGAACAAGTCTGAAAGGCCAGAAGCTTCCTTAACAAGACAAACCCAATCCTGCAAGGTCAGCCAATGTTAAGAAAGGCAGTGGCTTCAGGGCACCTACCTGTTCAGGGAGTTCCATCTTCTTCCTGGTGAATTCCCACTCCAAACCCTGACAGCCCACCATCCCCTTAGGGCCTCATGCATGCTAAGCAGGAACTTTACCACTGAGCTATACACTCAGCCTAGGTGAGCCTTTCTTAAAGGACTTCAGGCTAGAGAACTCAGCTTTGGCACCTGCCAACTTATCCCTGCACCTTATTTATCCCAACTAAAAGGCAGGCAGCCAGGCTCTGAGATATAGGGCAAGGATGGCTGACAGGGCTGCTTTTGTGTAGAAAGCAGCTGGTCCTGAAGGGGAAAATATCAAAGCACCTTTGGCTTCAAAGACCCCTTTAAATCTTTAGAAATTGTCATCAGTAGTATTCTTATCCTGTTTGTTTCCTCTATACAACTGATAAACTTCCCCTCTTAATCATTTTTTTTTCCGAGACAGGATTTACCTGTATAATCTTGGCTGTCCTGGACCACTCTGTGGACCAGGCTGGCCTAGAATTCACAGAGATCCACCTGCCTCTACCTACCCAGTGCTGGGATTACAGGCGTGCACCACCACCGCCCTGCCCCCTCTTAATCTTTTGATTAAAAATAAAGTCACATCTGCGGAATAGAAAACGGAAACTAAATGGATGCATCTTTTACTTCATGAAACACAAGTAGTCCCAACCTTCAGGATCTTCCACTACCACAACACAATCCCTCCCTAGGACATCGGTTAGGTGCTGGGCCAAGGCTAGTCAGACCACAGTGATCATATCCAGTCCACAGCACCTTCCATTTTATTGTTTATTTACAAACAGGGTGAAGTCAACTGGGCAAATCAGGGGTGGGAGTCAGGGCCATCCAAATGTGGAGTAGTTCCTGGATCGATCTCCACCATGAAGGCCGCCTCTTCTATCCTTTTCTTGCCCCTTGAATTTCTCAGGGCAGCCTCACTTGCTGCTTCAGAGCCCTTTTACAAGGGCAGATGGATCCTGGGGGAACAGGGTGGTGCGAGGGCTGGGGCCCCCTCAGTTTGTGTAAACCTGAGTTCCGATCACACGCATGATTTCCTTCTGTATCTTGGGGTCCTGAGTATTAATGTTGGCATCGCCCACCTGCCCATCCTCATATCTGCCAAAGATAGGGCAAGTGTAAGCCTAAGAGGAAGCACAATACCAAAATAACGTCTACCAGAGAAAATGTGTGCCAAGACATGACTTCATCCTAAAGTCAAAGGTTTCATCACTGCTCTTTAGAGTGAAGGGGTCAGCGTAAGAGTTCTCCTCTACAGAGTTCAGCGACCTGTCCTCATCTCTAAGGACAGGTCCCAGTACAAGCTAAACTGGACAGCAAGAGACAGGACTCAGACAAAAGAAATGAACACCCCCAGCGGTTGCACACCGTCCACACCCCCACTCTTCAAGTAGTCCCAAAGGCTCTTTTCAGACTCACACAAAGAAGAACCTTGTGCAGACATGGTCGGACACAGGGCACACCCAAATGTTCCCATGCTTCTGGAGGTCCTTAGATGTAATCACTGGGAGAAAAGGAGGCAGAAATCACAGATACAAAGTTAAGACAGCTCAGCTGGAAGGAGGACATGACGCTTCAACATAGCTTTTGGCTGAATCATGTGCCAAAAGGGCATCAGAAGTAAAGCTGGGGTCCCAAAGAAATACGACTGGATGAATACACACCTTCACAAAGTGCTATACAGTTGAGATTCCGACTCTGCAGGAACCTTGACTGAATGGATCGGGTCTGAGAGAGAAAGAAGCAAAGCAGAGCACAAGGTAAAAGGTTAGAGCTTGTTGGGTGTGGTGGCACATGCCTGCAATCCCAGCACTCTGAGAGGCAAAGAGGCAGGTGGATCCCTTGAGTTTGAGGCCAGCCTGGTCTACAAAGTGAGTCCAGGATAGCCAAGGCTACACAGAGAAACCCTGTCTTGAAAAGAAATAAATAAATAAATAATAAAGAGCTTGTCTCAGGGATGACAGGGGTAGGAACTGGGTTGCTGAGCTCCTAGGCACCCTTGGAATATGATGGCCCACAGCCTCCATATTCATCCGTTTCTTTAGAAACCTGCCTTTGCTTCCACACACACAGCAGAGACAACAAGTGACTGAAGAACTTTACACCTCCTAATGCCATTAAATGACCTGCGATGGCACCAGCTGCACTGTTCTCCATCCACGTTTTCTAGCAGGATGAGGGGAGGATCCTGACTCAGGCAGGGTCAACAAGCAATACCTGGGGGATGGTGTTCATCCTGTTGTATCTCTGGACCAGCTCATCCTTGGAAGGCATCCTGTGCTGTCCTTTGCCCATTCCTGTTGCAAAACAACAAACTCAGTTAATTTGCCCATTTCTTAAATATTTACCGAAGGACTTACTAGATGCCAGACACAGCTCGGGACACTTGGTAACACATGGTGACTAAAACAAGCTACTTTCCCACACAGAATTTAGTTTGGTGGAGACTGCAGGCAAGGAGTGGTGTATGACAGTGAGCTTATGGAGGGAGCACCATGTAAATCAGAGAAGGGGAACTAGCCTAGCCCAGAGGTGTGAAAATGTCCTGCTTCCACAAGACTCAAAACCTCAGGATTAGGAAGAGTTCATATGAAAAGCATAAACTATGAAAAGCACAAACACAGAGCCTGAGGACTTAACTTGCATACAGTATAACAAATGACAGAAAAATGACAACAACAGAAAAGATGTAACAAATGTTAAGCCGGGTCAGATCACACAGGGCTTTTGGGCTGTTAACAACTGGGGTTTATCCTCTAGGAACACCAGGGAACCACCGAAGGGTTCTAACATAGGAAAGTAACATGTGAGTCAAAAAGAGGGGCTCAGCAGAGGATACCAATACCTCAACGTCACATGACAGGCCACAGGTGAGTTAGGAGAAAGCAAGCAGAAGTTCACTATGCCTGGTTTTGAAATTCCGCAAAAGACTCAACATTCAGGATAAAAGGAAAAAGCAGGACCCTTCCATACGGAGTCTCCACAGATGCAGTGTCTTGAAGAGCGGTGGCAACCTTTAGAAAAAAGCGCTAACTCTCTTTCATTTCTACACTACCGCACTGCGTAATTTCACTACCATTTTTGTCTGCTTGTCGAAACAGGGTTTCCTCTGTGCAGCAGCTCTGGCTGTCCTGGAACTCACTTTGTAGACCAGGCTGGCCCATACTCACAGAGATCCACCTGCCTCTCCCTCCTGAGTGCTGGGATTACAGGCATGTGCCACAATGCCCAGTGTTCTTATCAAAAAAGAAAAAAGAAAAATTTAGGCTTATTATAAGCACCGCCTTACCAGTTAGGGGTGTATGCAACCAAGGAGACATAATCTGGGTTCCACCCTCACCATTTTACTTCACCATAATCTCACTCTGCTTTAATTCTTGGTTTTGCCACTAGCTTTTGACTTCAAAACTTTAAACTTAGTTTTATTTACTTTTATGTGTCCATGATGTGAGTGTAGGTGCACAAGGAGGTCAAATGGGTTTTATTGTTGTTGTTGGGATTTGGTTTTTTTATTTTGTTTGGGTTTTGGTTTTCCAGTCTTGGCTGACCCAGAATTCACTGTGTAGACCAAGCTGGCCTCAAACTAACAGAGGTCGCCTGCTTCTGTAAGTGCTGGGATTAAAGACAATGTGTGATACAACAGATCAGAGGACTGCTTTTAAGAGATGGCAGGGATCAAACTCAGATTACGAGGTTTGGGCATCAAGTACTTTTACCAGTTGAACTCTCTCACCAGCTTATTCTTGGTTTTCTAACGGCTGTGCTGTAGAGGTGGGAGGTCATAACCACTAGACTAAAATTCTTCACTGAAAAAGCAGGCTGTCAACTCAACATGAAACCCACTATAGTCATGGCCTGAACAACACTCTTCCTCACAGGACAGCAACCCTCTACTTCTGCCTTCTCCATCACCCTTACCAACTCTGCATCCAAACATCATGACTGCAGTCCAGATATTTTATTGGAAAGATTCTCCCCACTCCCTTAAGACAGGGTTTCTCTGTGTAACCGTGGCTGTCCTGGACCCACTCTGCAGACCAGGCTGGCCTCAAACTGCCTGCAGAGGCAGGCAGGTGATCAGCCTGCCTCTGCCTCCCAAAGTGCTGGGATTACAGAGGTGTGCCACCATGCCCAGCTTCATTGGAAAGATTCTAAGAAAAATTCCCATTCAAGTTCTACTCCAGAGAAAGCAATCAGGAGAGAGACAAAAAAAAAAAAAAAAGAATAATTTGATTTCTTTGGTGAATCTTAAGAGTTGGCCCTTTAAGTAACTGAACAGTTTTGTTCTGTCTCAAACCTGTGGCACTGTACTGAGACAAATAATCTCTGGACTCAACAGGACTAAACAAGAAAATTTCCAAATCATTCACTGACCCTAATTTCTTCTGACACTAACGCCTAAGTTATCAGCAA